AGCCCCTGCTTCCAAGGAGCCTTTGTAAGCCAAGCTTGGGAGCAATGCACGTACAGGCAGAGGCCCATGGCTGTGAGAACCATGTCTGGCCAGTGGCTCAGCACTGTGCTGGCCTCTCTCAGGATCCTTCTCTGCACAGCCAACCTCAGGCTGCCTTGGCAGAATCATTTGACTACTGGTGGAGTAAAGCCTGACTGCTCCTGGAGTCATAGAATAGATGAGCCACATCACTCTGGAGCTCAGAGCCTCCTGACTTCCTTCCCTCCTATGCCAGCAAAGCCCTCAAAGGTGTCTGATGTGATCCAGCTGCATCTCCTGAGGCAGTTCTGGGATTTCTCCCTGGTAATTCCCAGTGTTTTTCCATGTCTCTGAGCTCACCAGCCTCAGGTCCCCATTCTCTTACTCACTAATTCAACACTGTTGGGTCACACATGACCTTTACTTATCCTTGTGTACACTGTTGGTGGCCCAGAGTCTCCTCATGTCACTGCTTCTCCCTGCTCATGACACAGCAGGGGACAAGGGGACAGTTCTAGCTTGCTCCTCATAAGGCTATTCCCACCTGTGCCCAGGTGATGGGAAAGCTGCTCTGTTACAGTTCCTGTTTGCATGGGCAGAGTCCCCCATGGGTCTGATTGCAGGTCCTGGTGCTGAACCCCTGGTGCTGCATCCCAGGGCTTTCACAGGTGATGTTCTCTGGTGTATCCCTGGCAGCTGGTTCCTCTCTGCTCTGCCCACGTCTCATGTCTCTGGGTCCTTCTTGCTTCAAATTTCTGCCCATTTTATGGCCATGCTGGCTGCTCTCTAAACTGGAAAGTACTACTCAGACCCCAGGGCTTGGGGTCCTGCTGTTTGACTCTTCCCTTTGCCAGGGCATGAATTAATTCTTCCTGGACTGCTGTGAACATGTTTAGGAGTGAATTTTGTGCAACACTGATAGTGCTCTTCTGTCATCCACTTGTTTTAATGCTCTCATTGGGAAAAAAAAAGAACTTGTTATATGGGTCAGTGTGAGTCTGCTGTTCCTCAGTGATCTCCAAACACAAAATGATTGCTCTGCAGTTAATTACTGCAGAATTTTAGTAGGACACAGACACGGGAAGGTTTTCCAGCTATTGCTGGAAAGGTTGGATGGTTGAGCTGACGTCCTGGTGGCTGCAGGGATGTTCCTCAAAGTGTGACAGGGTAGGACCTTCCCTGATTGCTCCCATGGTCATGGAGCAGCATCCACACAGCCACAGGTGCTGCTCCAGCTCCAGCTGCTCTCAGGAGGGTAGTGTGGAGGGTGTCAGCTTTAGGGGCAATGACAGGAACACACTGAGCTTTTAACCCACTCAAAAAAGAGGATGACTGTATTTCTGCTTCCTGATGGCCGCATCAGCTCTCTGTTTTCCCCTTACAGCCCTGTGTCTGTCCCAGAGCACCAGTACATACTGGTTCCATACTGGTTTGTGCCTGGTTGTTCAGTGTAGCTTACACTGCCTCCCAGACTGGTGCAACACAGCACCTCTGAAACGTACGTGAGTCTGAACCCAGTTTTCATAGACAGGTTTGGGTTGGAAGGGACCTCAAAGGTTACCCAGTGCCACCCCCTGCCATAGGCAGGGGCACCTTCCACTATCTCAGGTTGCTCCAAGCTTCATCCAAGCTGGTCTTTTCTGGAGAGCTGGACTGCTGCAACATCAGACTCTGGAACTGGGGTTAATCTCCAGCAAGTGTCAGCTTTGGGTGGTTCTGAACAAGCTTCCAGTGCAGCTGCTGCTAAGGGATGGGATCTTGGTTTTGGGGGCCTCTTCCCTAATCTGTAGTGGATGATGGAGTGGCTCCAGGGCCAGGCCCTGCTTGGCACTGAGAGTGGTGTTTGTAGGGCTCTGGATATGTTTGCTGGGAGCTGTGGAGCTGCAGGAGGAAGGAGAATAATCTTGTTTTTTTGGCAACCCTGGGTGTCTGTCCTGCTTGTCTATGCTCAGTGAGGTCATTGGCTGCAGGACTGTCCCCTCCTGTTCCTTATTTTGCATGGGGCCCAAAGTGACTTGGAGAAGAATGACTGTGGTCACCAAGTGTTGCAATTGGGCAAAATATGCAAAGTATTCTGAAAATAACGCTGAAAGGATTGCAAACACTGACATATCATAAAGTGGCTATTACTTGGGGAACTGGGAGTCTGGATTGCAGTTGTGAGGACTTTACTGGTCAGGTCCAGGTACCCAGAGCAGGGTTTTCCTATTCCTTTATTTTGCTGATGATGCCAGCCTATAGCACAGATTTGGTCTCTGCATGGCCTGCTGTGCCCACAGCATGTGAGGGGTGTGTTGTGGACTAACAGGGAATTCTCAGCAATTTAAATCTTATCTCAGGTTTCCCGTGCCCAGCTGTGAGCCCTCACATGGATCCCCAGGACAAACTAATTTCCATGGTCTCTCCACTCAGAAAATCCATGCTGGTGTGTGCCAGAAGGTTTTGCTGGGATGTGGCTTTGCTGGGGCTGTGTTTGTGCTTCATGGTGAGAACCAGGCTCAAATCACCTGGCATTATTTAAACTGAGTGGAGGCACGTGCAGCCTTCCCATGGTGGATTGAGGAAAATCAGCAGCAAAGGGGCTTGGACTCCTCTTGTAGCGAATATCAGGTGAGCATCACCCAGAAGCAGTTTTTGTCCTCCTTTAGGCTTCCAGGCAGTTCAAGGAAAGGTGTCCCCACTGCTAAGCTCTCAGTTTGGGCAGGGTAACCCTGATGTTCAGGACAAACAAAGCCTCTTCCTTCACTGCTGCTGCTCTGAGGAGAACAAAATGTGCTGTGGAGGCAGAGGGGAGCAGCTGGTCCCAGACTATGGGGTGCACTTGTGGATGCCCTGGCTCTGGAGCAGGGAGGGCTGGCAAGAGGCTGCCCCCAAAACTGGGGCTGGGAATCCCAGGGATGGGGTCTGCCAGCTGTTGGTGGTGGGAACAGGATGGGAGACCTAGAAAAATCGTAGCTAGTGATGTGTCATTCCTGATGTGGGATCTGACACAGGGGCTAAAGGGGATGGTGGGCTCCTATGCCATGTGGGACTCAGGGCTGGCAGGGGGTGGTGCTGGATGTTTCTGCCCTCCAAGGAAACTCCTGAACAACCAGGTCAAGCCCTCCTCCTGATCCAGGGGAAAAAACAGGCTCTGGAGAGAAACAGGCTGTGTCCTTTTAAGGCAATCCAAAGGCTGGGACTGGAAGAACCAGGCTGAAAAGGAGGGATTTGGCACGGTTGGGAAGCCCAACCTTCTGGGCCTTTGGAAAAGAGACTTCCCAGCTGCTGTGACCACACCCCAAACACAGCACCCCGGGAGCCAGCACAGCCTCTCCAGCCCCTGCTCCTGGCACCGTCCACTTCTCTGTCTGTCTGTCTGTCCTGCACTGAGACCCTTTAGGCATCTGGGAGCTGTGGCCAGGATAGAGTGGGGTCAGCAAGTCAGTTCTGACCCCTGCCCTGGTAACCAGGCAATTTCAGTTGCCCTTTTCCTGACAAAAAGAGATCTTGACTTCCCCATGACCTGGGAGGTGCAGGGATCTTGCTGTGCCTGTGAGCCCTTCATGATCCCCCATCTGTTTGATGTTTGTACAACCACTCACCTCCCCAGCTGGGAGAGCCCAGGGATGGGGCTTCAGCTGCAAGAGGTGACCCAGGACCTGCAGCAAGAAGTGGGGCTCCAAGGCTTCTGGTGTGCCCTGGCAGACCCAGGTCCTTTCCTCATTTCCACACAGCTCAGGGGGGTGATGAGATCCTACACACATGGTGGGCTGGCAAATCGTGTACTCTGAAAATGAGGTTTGGTTTTGGGGACACTGTCCTGCTGCTTTAGCTGTTCAGGGGTCAGGAAGCACATGGTGACTTCTGTGGCCTGTCCCCAGATGGGAGCAGGATGGGGAATTACAGAGGTGTTGATGGAAAGAGGCCCCTGGAGACCTCTCAAGCTGCAGCTTGTGCCTATTGACCTTGCTTGTATCATTGGGCCCTTCCAAAAAGTGTTTTATTGTCTTTGTAGCAGCCCCAGGTTGCTGTTTGATCCTCCTTAGCTTCCTCTTGGCCACTCTCAATCAGCCTGGTTCCCTCAGCATCTCCTTGCAGGACTTTGTTGTGTGAATGTCTTGAGGTTTATGTTGACCTGGTCTTCACAAGTGTCAAGGCCCCTCTGGGCTGAAGCTCTGCTGCTTGTGTAAGCAAGTCACAGTATTTTGGGGATATCTGCAAATCTAGGGGTCTCTTGATGGTGTCTCATCAGACACAGTTCAGGAAAGAGAAGAGAAATAGAAGCATCTATAGCCTGCTGAGGAGCTGGATGGTGGCTTAGGGTGGAGCTCAGGTCTTTGCCCTGCACTGTCTTCTTGATTTCAGATTCTCCAGGCTCTGTGACTCTGCCTGCAGTCCTGGAGGAGACTGAGATGCTGGAGTGCAGGGAGTGCCTGGGAGGGGTTGGCCAGGCAAGGCAGGAGAGCTGTTGGTGCTGTGGGACCAGAGCCTGGGGTTTGGTGGTGTCAGGGCCCTCAGGGCAGCCCTGACTGTCCCCTGCCCTGCAGTGGCTGAGATGGAAGAGTTGGTCAGGGGGGAGAAGCTGGAACTGTGTCCAGGGGTGTGGCAGCTGTCACTCCAGCACCAAGGCTCAGTCACAGTGAGCAGGCCATGGCATGGGCTGACAGGAGGGCTGTGACCTCAGGAGGTGCCTGGGTCACTCTGTGAGCACCGTCTCCCAGCATTGTGCTGCTTCCTCCCTTTTTCTGGCACTGACACGAGCTGAGAGGTCTCAGCTCCAGGACAGGGATTTCTGCTGCTCCTGGCAGACAGGACCAGGGGTCCCTGGCAGTCAGCTGGCACTGCTGGGTCCCTGAGTTCTGATTCTGCTCATTGCCAGCCCTGCAGTCTGTGCACCCTGCAAACACTGTGGGTGCTCTCTGAACATGTGGGAAAGCTCCTGAGGCTCACAGAGTGACAGCCCCACAGAGCCCTGTTCCTGACTGTGCTTTCCTGTGCAGGATGCCAAACTGGGGAGGAGGAAAGAAGTGTGGGGTGTGCCAGAAGGCCGTGTACTTCGCTGAGGAGGTGCAGTGTGAAGGCAACAGCTTCCACAAGTCCTGCTTCTTGTGCAGTGAGTACCACCTCTTCCCCTGACCCCCTCTCTGCTTCCTGGGCTCCTCAGGATCTCTCCAATCCCCCCAGCATGGCAGGTACACGGATCATCCCAGGACACATGGGTTGTCCAGCTGTCAAGGCTGACCTCAGCCAGCAGCCACACAAAGACTTAGTCTATTCCTACTCCAGGGAAAGGCCAGGCTGGCTCCTCTGCTCTGTGTCCAGGTGTTAAGGACTGGAGCATGAGACAGGAGCAGTGGTGGCAGGAGGGGCACATCCCATGCAATGCCCAGAGGTGGGGCTGGCTTTAACCTTCTCAGTGCCTTTGCCACACTAAAACGTCCTTGAGCCTGGGGAACTGGCATGGAATCTCCTCACGTCTGAGGGGATGATGGGAAGGAGATGTGGTCCCCTCCTGGCCCCTGTGCTGATGGAAATCCTCCTGAGATGTGCCGAAGCATCACCCCCAGCCCGTCTGCAGATCCACTGTTGCTAAGGGTTTCTCTGGTGTATGCTTAGACACAAGTGTCACCTCCGGGGAGGGGCAGCAGAACAGGATCTGGCTGCAAGTGATCCAGTGCTGAGCTCCCTTCCTCTGCCCCCTCTGCAGGATCCTACAAATACTGCTGGTGTCCTGCTGCAAGTCCCCAGACACTCTTCCCTGCCTTTGGGGATCCCAAGCTGGTGGTGTTGCAGTGCTGAGAGCAGCTTCTTCAACCTGGGGCATCCAGAGGGGCTGCAGTACGTTTGAATCAAAAGATAAGCAGTGTCCCCAGCCTGTGTGGTACTTTATTACTGTCCTCTGTCCCTGGAGACCGTGATGTATTAAAACCCATGATTCTCCTGTGCCTGCAGGAGATGGGGCTTGGAGAAAGCTGGTCTAGTGGAAGGGTAGGACAAGATGAGTTTTAAGGTTCCTTCCCACCCAAACCTCTCTGGAATTCTGTGGACAGGAGCACACACATTGCCTGTGTCTGCTGATGGCTCCGTGAGATGTTACATCTGCCACAGAGTAGCAGAAGTGCATCTCCAGGGTGGCCTTGCAGCAGGGCCCCACTGTGGTTTAGTGTTTCCTCAGCTGATCCCAGTGTCCTGGTCCCAGTCTCACCATCCCATCGCAGCAGGGAGCACAGCTGGGACCTTTTCCAGAGGGGCAGCAGGCAGAGTGGAATCTGAAAACAGGCACTTTCTGGAACTGAAACTCCAGTGACCCTGACGTGCTCCTGTGTCCACCTAGCCTGGCTGCTGGATACTTCTTGTCCAGCCTGCCTGGGACACAGCACGTACAGCTGGATCCAGATGAGGGAAAGGAAGGCTGTGTTTGTGCTCTCTGCAGAGTGGAGGGTGGCCAGCATGGCTGGGAGCTCCCATTTGTGTGAGTTTCCAGGCTGCAAACTTGCTTTGGCTGGTAGGGCTCAGCAGGGAAGTTTTGAGGCTTTTCCTGGGCAGGACAAGGGTGACAGGCCGGGTTAGTATGGCAGCTGCTCTGCAGAAGGAAACCCTGGCTGTTCTGTGGCCTCAGATAAGGAGGGTGGGGTATGTTGCCCTCACCTCTTGTGCACACAGCTGGTTTGCCAGGGAAAACTGCTGCCATGGGATGCTGGCACCCAGAGAGAAGGGCAGGCCTCCAGGAACCACAAAATGAGGCTAAAGGCATTGCTTCCACGTGGGAATGCACGGCCAGAGCGGGGAAGAAGGTCCCCTGTGTGTGTTCATGGAAGCAAGTGCCCACAGAGTGGTCCTGGGCTCAGGGCTGCTGTTCCTGTGCTTTGCAGGCATTTGTTCTGCCACTCCAATGTGCCCAGCAGCTCTGTCCTGGCTGGAGCTCCCCAGTTCAGGCTGTGGCTCGTGTGCCAGCCCACTCTGCTGCCCACTGTTCCCAGTCCGTGCCATGGGCTGTGGGTGGTGCTCCTGAGCTCCTGCATTCCCAGCCTGTTCCCTAGTGCTGCATTTGGGGCCCATCAAGGAACTTGAAACCATTATCTTTAGGGGATAATAACAAACACTTCAACCAGATCTGCCAAAAACATCATCTAAAAGGAGCCAAGCCTACCACAGTGCATTAGAGCTCAGGGAGCAACTTGGTGATTGACTCCTGGCCATGATCCAGCTGCCTGGGTAGTGCAGCAGAAGTGAGCTGGAATGAGCCCCTTGGCCTTGGAAAGCAGAGGCAGCTCTTGTCTGTAATTTTCTGTGGAGCAGCTCAGCTGCTCTTAGAAAAACAAAGGGTCCTTAACTCCACGAGTGCAGTGCACTGGAATTTCTGCAATGCACAAATGCGGGGGCTGGGTAAAAAAATTTCTGTTGCCTCTCAAAGCTCTGTGAGTACAGATGAGGGACTGTGAAAGCTTGGGCTGGAACTCCAAATCCATCCAGATGGCACTGAGAGCATTCACTGCTACCCAGGGACAAAGCTCACTGATAAAGGCCTTTGAAATTCCAGTGAAAGTAGCCATATTCCTTCCTGATGCTCTGCCTGAGCAGTGTCACTCCAGGGCAATGCAGAGACCCCAGCAGCAATCCAGGAGCTTGGCAGCTTTGGAACCAGTTACCACTCTGGTCTCTCCCAGCTGGGATCTGTTCTCCATCCCCAGCTCCTGCTATGGTGGGAGGTGTAGCTGGGACAGGATTCTGCCAGAGCCTCCTTAGATGGCAGGAGATGCTTCCCTTTCCTCCTCCTTGTCCCAGCAGAGGCACACGAGGTTCTCCTGGCTGTATTTAGTCATGGAAGGGCAGCCTTCTGCTCCAAGGGGAGAACTCTGCTCTGTTTGCATTCCTGTGATATTGGGAAAGGCCAAGAAACTGCTCTGCTGGCCAAGAAGCTGCTGGAAACCTCAACATTAAAGGCGTGGAAAGCAAAACAGGGGAAGCTGCGTGGCAGCTGCAGCCGGATCTGTTTGGGGCTGGCTGCCAGCACTGCAGACTCTGCCCTGGGAGCTGGGATCCTGCACGGGGCACCTGAACACAGGACATCACCTGGACTTTGGGTGCTGGTGGCCTCCTGCTGGCTGGACAGAGTGTGTCAGGAAGGGACATGGCAGCTGTGAGCAGAGCTGGGACAGGAGCTGGTACTTCCAGGACCTTAAGGGGTTTATAAAAGAGAGGTAGAGTTACTTTTTGCACATGCAGACAATGACAGGGCAAGGGGAGATGTTTTTAAACTGAAAGAGGAGCAATCTAGATTAGATATAAGGGAGAAAGTTAGATTAGATATAAGGAAGTAATTTTTTACTCAGAGGCTGGTGGGGCATTGCTCTCCAGAGAAGCTGTGGCTGCTCCATCCTTGGAAGTGTTCAAGACCAGGTTGGACAGGGCTTGGAGTAACCTGGGATTAGTGGAAAGTGTCCATGGCAGAGAGCTGGAATCAGATAATTTGAATTGAAGGTGCCTTCCAACCCAAACCAGTCTGTGATTCTATAGAAACCTAAAAATCAGGGGAAGGCCTGAGCCCAGCACCAAGCTCAAGCTCTAGGTGGGCTCAGCAGGGTCCCTGAGCCTGGCTGCCATCTTCTCCTGTTCCATCTTACATCCCACTTTGACCCCCAGGGCTCAAACACCCAGCTGAGTTAGTGTTCCTCACTTGAGACCCCCCCATGCACCCCCAGACTGGGGCAGGACCAGGGCTGAGGGGACACGTGAGCCTTTTGAGCTCTGGAGAGGTGACTGTGCCCTCTGCAGTGCCTCAAGTGTGGTGATGGGCTGCTCTTGGATGGCTCTTGGTCCACCCAAACACCAGGAAAAGCTCCTTTGCTCACATTTCTTTGCCCTGAGTGCTTCCTGCTGTGGATTTGCGGGGCCAGGGCATCCATCCCCAGGCTTGAGAATCCTGCAGTGATGATTAGGGAGAATTCACGCCCATAGTTTAAGTGCAGCTGCAGGAGAGCAGCACCCAGGGGGTTAAGAGAGCTTTCCTTCCCTTGGTATCACTGTTGGCTTTGGTGGTTGCTTCCTTTTAAAGCCAGACACTGCTCTTGTTGTGATCCTTATCTGCCCTGGTTTGCATGTGCTCCCTGCAGCTGGATCCTGGCGAGGATTTCCCTGCTCCTTGAAAGCTGAGCTGTGCTGTCCCTGTGAGGGCTTGTTTTCCTCAGCTAATTAGTGAGTTCTGGCAGAGCAGGCTGATACCACACCCTCCCCTCTGTTCTAGTGGTCTGTAAGAAGAATTTGGACAGCACCACCGTGGCCGTGCATGGTGAGGAGATCTACTGCAAGTCCTGCTATGGGAAGAAGTACGGCCCCAAGGGCTACGGCTACGGGCAAGGAGCAGGGACCCTGAGCACTGACAAGGGCGAGTCCCTGGGAATCAAATATGAAGAGTGAGTTTGAGCCTTGTTTTGGAGCCACAGCGGGGCTGTGGGCACCTTCTCCCCACACCTGCCCTGTGGTGCGTGGCTGTGCAGCCTGTGCTGAGCTCCCAGCAGTGTCTGTGGGCTGCCTGGCCCCTCTGTCCCACCAGGGAATCCCACTGAGCCCTGTTTGGTGGCTGGGATGGGATGGGATGGGACATGTCCCCATTGCCTGAGCACGCTGCCCGCCCCTTCACAGCACACAGCCCTCAGGCTGAACTTTCCATGGGGCTCGACACATTGTTCCTGAAGCTCCCTTATAAACTGGGCTGGGATTTGGGATCCCGTAGTTCTTCCCTGCTCCATCTTGCATCCCTGATCATGAGCTGCCTGCCACCCACAGGAGCCATCCCCACCGACCCCCCAACCCCAATGCAGCCAGGATGGCCCAGATGGTGGGAGGAGCTGACGGGTGTCCCCGCTGTGGCCAGGCCGTGTACGCGGCCGAGAAGGTCATTGGAGCTGGCAAGGTAAGAGGGGATGGTGGGCACGGGGTGCTGCATGGCAGGGCCACTGTCAGAGAGGATCTGGACCTGCCCTCAGCCAGGCCAGGGCTTGGGTCCAATGGCCACGTTCACCTGGCACCGAAAGGAGATCTTGGCTTGTCTGGAAACCAGGCTGTCCAGGCTGCAGCGCTCTCACAGACTTGTAGATGGGGGAGAAATACATTTTATATTAAATATTTACAGCCCTGCTCAGCAGAGGCCACAGTGGACATCCTGCTGTGGATGTGCTGAGAGGGTGAGCAGTGATGTGTGCCATGGCCAGTGTCACTGTTAAAGTGCATCCTTCTCCCCTCTGTGCCACAGGCTGGGCAGGGTGTTGGAGCTGTGGTGAATGTTCTGGGGCTGTTCTGGTGCTGGCTTGCTCAGCTCAGGGTTTGAAGGTCACTGTCACAGTCCTGGTGACCCTGTGCCAAGGTCATCCCTTCACCAGGGTTCTTTGCACTCTGAGCTGTGACCTGGTCCTGGCCCAGCTCCTCTGTAAGGCCTGGGGACCCCTCCTGCCCTGCCAGCCCTGGGACCCCAGGTGAGGTCCCTGCCTGGAGCTGCCCTACCCACGAGGTCAGGCACATGCAGAGCTTGTCAGGAACACCAGGCCAGGCTGCTTGGCTTTGTGCCATGGGGACAGGGTGGCCATGCTGGGACAGCCTCACCAGTGACCAGGTGTCACTCCCTGACCTGGCTGGGCTCTGTCCTCTCAGGGCTTTGTGCTTGTTCTGCATCCCCAGAACAAGGAAAGGGATCAACAGAAAGGGCCCCTCAGCATCCTCACCCCCCAGCTGGCTTCTGATGAACACGCTGAGGATCAGCCCAGGGTCAGAAGCTGAATTTATCCTTAAAACCATGATCTGGGCTTCCTGGTCGGCTTCTGGCCCCAGTGTTTAAAGGGAACCAAAGTTGATGAAGCAATTACATTAAAGTAGACCCAGAGAGGATTCCAGAGCATGTATTTCATGTGCTAATGTTTGCTGGATGACTCCATCCAATACCTCCTCCTCCAGCCCCCAAATTTCACATTTTCTTCCTAAAAAGGTTTCATGTTTCCCAAGTGTTTGTTTAAATTCCTCGGTGAGCAGCTCAGGCTACTTAAGGTCTGCCTGAACACTGTGAGCTCATTTATCTCCAGGGGACTGCTGGAACCATGGGGGGTTATTTTTAAACACTGTCTGGTTTTGGCATTTTTCCTCTCTGTTTGCTGCCTTCCTTGGAGCTGTGTTTGTGTGGGGCAGTTGTCCCATCCCTGCTGCCACCCCAGCCCAATATCCAGCAGCCCTGGGTCTCAGCTGGACAATGTGGGGGATTTATCTTGCTGGTTAAGTGAGGACAGTCCCCAAAGAGGAGGGGGATTGCTCCTTACAAATTATTGTAGAAATTACTACACAAATGACTTCTAAGAGTTGTGGGCAAAAGGTCTCCAGAACCAGACCAGCACAGGAGCAGTGACCACACCTGGTGTTTCCTCTCTGTATTTTCCCAGTGGGGCTGGGAGTGCTTTCCAGGGAAAAGCTTTCATTCCATTCAGAGCTCTTGGTTGGCTCCTTTGGATCAGAAACAGAACAGGGAGCCTGGTTGGTAGCAGAGCCTGGCTGCCCTGTCCCTGGGGTCTGACCGGGCTCTGCTCCTGTCCCGCAGTCCTGGCACAAGTCCTGCTTCCGCTGTGCCAAGTGTGGCAAAAGCCTGGAGTCCACCACGCTGGCAGACAAAGATGGGGAGATCTACTGCAAAGGTGAGCCCCACCTTCCCTGCTGGCTTGTCCTGGGCTCTGAGGGGTGGGGGTGAAGACCCCTGTGCAGGGTAGAGGTTGGGGAAGGGGTGGCCCAGCTGCTGTTTTTGGGGACTGACTGTGCCAGCCACAAAGCTGGAGAATTTCCTGCTGAGCCAGGGCCTCCCTGTTTGCCCAGCAAATCTGGCAAACCTTGCCCTGTCCAGGCAGGGCATGCCCCCTGGGGAGGACCTGCTCCTGTGCCAGCCTCACCTGTGTCTCCCTTCCATCCTCTGCAGGTTGTTACGCCAAGAACTTCGGTCCCAAGGGCTTTGGCTTTGGGCAGGGCGCCGGGGCACTGATCCACTCACAGTGAGCTCCAGGGCCGTGCCCTGCGCTCGCCCGGGGCTCATCCCACGCCGCCCGCCCGCCCCACGCCGCAGTGAGTGCCCCAGTGTCACCCCTAGCCACCGCTGCTTCACAGCACCAGCCCCTCCTGCCCTGCCCCGGCGCTCCCCGGAGCCAGGGGGGTCCCAGCATCGTCCCTGTGGGGTTCTGCTGGGGCAGGGGGCAAAGAGAGGCCGCTCCCTCCCACTGCAGCGAGGCCCCCGTGGCCAAGTCCTGCTCCGCGTTGCCTGTCCCGCCGGCCGTGAGCTCAGCCGTGACACCGAGCAAGCAATAAAACATCAGAGACATCAAAGCTCAGCCAGGCCTGGCCCCAGCACTTACTCCTGTCTGGGGCTGAGGATGGCACAGGTGCACAGAGCTGGGGAGGAGTTTGCAGTCCTGGCTTGTAATTAAAGCCCAATGGCAGGGATGTGTTGGTGCGGTTTGACACGGCCCAGCTGTGGCCAGCTGAGTTCTGCAGCTCGGCTGGGATGGGCTCCCCCTCTGCTCCCACCAAGAATCAGCATGGAATAGTTTGGATTGGAGGAGACCTTAAAGCTCATCTTGTTCCACCTTCCACTAGCCCAGGTTGCTCCAAGCCCTGTCGTTGAACACTTCCGGGGATGGGGATAACTATTCCAAGAGCAGATGGTGCTGGGAGGCCAGGGACAGCCCTTCTGGGGTGTGTTGGTAACACCACATGCGTGCTCACCCTCTCAAAACCCCTATCAGTGCTTTTAGGTGGCACCTCTCCAAGCAGGCTGCCCAGCAGTGCCAAGTAATTAACAGCTTTTCACCTACTCCCTGCTTTTTTAGCAGCTTGTGGATCATTAAACCTCCAGTTTGGCAGCTGCCCAGGTTTAAATTGGTTTTCATCTAAACTCTTCACTCCCTTTCTGTGATTCTCCTGTTGGACCGGTGGGACAGACTCAGATCAGCCCCACTGCAGCTCAGAGTTAGGGACTCCACAGGGAATTGAGTTCTGGGGTTTCTAAAGTTACAAACATTGTGGTTGAGAAAATGAGATGGGGAGTGTTCTGAGAAGCACAGCAGAGGCAGAAATCCCGTTTTGGGGCAGGACTTGGGCTCGTTTATCAACTTAAGTGCTTTCTCCAGTTCATCACACCCTCAGTTTTACATGGTGTTTTTGAAGTGGGGATGGGGAGTTAAGTCTTTACCATCTCCAAAAATTCACCCCTTTAGACTGTAGCAGGATTCACACAGCTCTGGGCTGTGTGGTGGCTGGGATGAGGGGTCTGGTGGCACTTGGTGTGGGGGGCAGACAGCCCAGGCTCCGCTAGGGTTGGGAGCTGCAGCACAGAGGGTTCAGATACCACCCTGCTGTGGAGACCCAAACCTGCCTCCCTTGGCAGAGGCCCAGCTTCTCCCCCACAGAGATGTGTGGTGGGGGTTCTGGAAGCTGCTGCAGGGATGGGGGGTCCGGAAGCTGCTGCAGAGGTGTGAGGTGGGGCTTCTGCAGGGATGGAGGGCTCAGGAAGCCCCTGCCTTCTCTGTGAGTGTGCAGGGGATGCTGTGCTGCTCCTGTGACATCTCAGCTGGATGTGTTCTAGGTGGGATCATGCCCAGGTAGTACTGGGTGGTCAATAAAGCTACAATGAGTCTTTATTTAGCCGCTTTCTGCAGCTGTAGAGATTCTGTCAGAGAGGGGAGGAGCAGGAGCCATTCTGCTCCGGAGCCAGACTGGGAAAGGTGGGGATGTCACTTGGAGAAAGCTCCAGGGACACCTCAGAGCCCCTTCCAAGGCATAAAGGGGCTCCAGGAGAGCTGGAGAAGAGCTTTGGACAAGGGCCTGGAGGGACAGGACAAGGGGGAATGGCTCCAAACTGCCAGAGGGCAGGGATAGATGGGATATTGGGAAGGAATTCTTCCCTGTGGGGGTGCTCAGGCCCTGGCACAGGTGCCCAGAGAAGCTGTGGCTGCCCCTGAATCCCTGGAAGTGTCCAAGGCCAGGTTGGGTAGGGCTTGGAGCAGTCTGAGCTGGTGGAAGATGTCCTTGCCCGTGGCAGGGGGTGGAACAGGATTGTAAACCTTTCAACCCAAAGCAGTGTGTAGTTCTATGAAGTACTGACATTTCACATGTGATAGACACCAGAGAGGCCAATTCTGCTGGAGGCATAGTCAAAGCCAGGAGAAAATGCTGGATTTGGGTTTCAGAGGGCCACAGAAAGATGTTGGTTAGAAGGGACCAGGGTCAGGTTGATCAGAGCATTTGGTGTCCACTCAGGTACAGGAGCTCTCTAAGGATGGAGGTCCCAGCACTGTGGGTCCTGTCACAGCATTGTGCCACACAACTCTTGAAAGGGTCGTTTCATCACTGAAAGGGTGATCAGGCCCTGGCACAGCTGCCCAGGGCAGTAGTGGAGTCACCACCCCTGGGGTGTTGAGAAGACCTGTGGATGTGGCACGTGGCGAAATGGGTTAGTGGTGAACAGTGCTGGGGGAGTGTCTGGAACTGATGATCCTGGCACCTGGGAGGGCTTTTCCAACATTAATGATGCTGTGAATCCCTGATTCTCCTCTTGTGCCCCTGTGCCTGGTGTCTTGTGTCCTTTTGCCAGGTAGGGCTGCGTCTCCCTTCTCCACAACCCTTCTCTAGACCGTGGAAAACTGAAGTTCAGCCTCCCCAGGTCCTCTTTTCTCCTGCCTGGTGGGTCTTTGCTGAACTCCCAGCCCCAAAGGTGTTGGGTAGACCATGGCCCAGGACAGGGACCATGCCCTGAGGGTTTGCCCTGGGTGCCACACACCTGCTGACTGGTCACTCAGTGGCTTAGGGGGTGACAGAGACCACCATGGGGACACCAGGATGGGGTTATGGGGGCTGCACATCTCGACAGAGGCATGAGGGGGGCTGGAGGAGGTGCTGGGACATGGCCCAGGAGAAGCAGCGTGGGACTAGAGGTGCTTTGTGGGCATTTCCTGCCCGAGTTGCGGTGGGACAGCTCCGAACATCTGCTACCCTCTGCTGATCAGTGAGCACAGCAGGGCCCAGCCAGATGTGTCTGCTCACCTGTGTCCAGGTGTTGTCCAGCTTCCCCTGGAGGCAGCAGAGCTGTGGGGGCTGCAGCCTGGGAAAGGGGCTGTGGCACCCAAACCTGTCCCTGAAGGGACAAACCAAGGGCTGACTTGTGGCCAAGCACCCTGGAGCCTGGAGGTGATGGCACCACTTGAGGGGTGAGACTGGAGCCTCCGAGCCCCGTGGCCAGCAGGGCTGTGAGAGGGGATGTCACCCTGTCACCGAGCTGTGTGGGGATGTCACCTCGGGGCAGGGCTGAGCCTGGCAGCACTGCGACCTGCCCCGAGGGGCCTGTGGGGATGGGATGAGCCCATGGAGCAGAGCCCTCAGCTCACCCACAGCCTGGCACAGCGAGTCCTGCTGGCTTTGCTGCAGGGCAGGAGCTGCTCTGTGCCCCCCGGGCAGCCTGGCAGGATGAGACCCCTGCCTGGTGTGTCTGGGAACGGGCAGCTGGGGACATGGGAGTGGAGAAGGACAAACTCCTTCACACACACGGGGCTGCAGGACCATCGCCTTTCCTCGGTGGCTGGTGGAAGCAGTGAGCACAGAGAGCAGGGGGGGTCTCAGGCAGGGTTGGCAGCCCTTGGCTCTCCCCCGGGCTGTGAGGATGGAGCTGGAGCTGGATGGTGAGCCAGATCTGTCCATGGACATCCCAGCTTAGCAAAACCCCCGAGCTCCCCGAGCTCCCGGGGCTCAGCACCCCCGGAGCTGAGCGCTACCTGCGCGTGGGAAAACAGCCTTGCTGGGGGAACCCACACATTCGCTCTGCTCCTTCTGAAGTGCTGGGGTGCTCGGGGTGACCCGCGGGGCCGCCTGACGTCGGGAGCCGGCTCTCCCGGGACACCCGGGATCTCTGCCAGCGTGCCGAGCTTGGCCCCAGGGAGCACGAACCAGTTCCTGGCTCCGCCAGCCGCCCTGCCCTCTTAATGAGAGATAATGAGCTGCATCTCATCAGCGCTGCAGACTTGCCCCCTGGCCACGGCGGCTGCCGGCAAAGCCCCCGGCAGGGACCGGGAGCGCTGAAGGGGCTGGGGCAGGAGGGACCCGGCCGGGTCGGGCTCTGTGAGGGGTCCGTGAGCAGGGTGGGCTCTGGGACAGCGGCTGGGAGCACTGCTGATCCAGCCCCCGGCAGTGGCTCCGGCACATTCCCGGGGGGATTTCTTCCCATTGCAGACCCCGCCTGGGTGAAGGACCCACTCTCTCACGTTTGCAGGGACACATTCGGCTGCCCGGCCGCCTGTGACCGTCCCCCGCCCTGGCAGCACGGCCAGCACAAGCCCCCGGCTGTGCCCTCCGCAGGGGGGAAGCCCTCGGTGCCAGGCGCTGGCACAGGAACAGACGGGCTGGAGAGGAGCCGGTGTTTGGCTGCAGGGGAGGGAGGATCAGGCAGGACCGGGCTGCGCTGCCCCGGCCCCGCTCCACGGCTCCTTCCCCCTGCACAGCTCACACGAACTGCGGGATTCTGTTCCTTGCTGGGAACAGGGGCTTTGGTGGGTGGGAGCTCTGTGTGCTGAGGGATGGCCCAGCACCCTTGGATTAGTGGCTGGGGAGGCGGGTGGCTGTCAGGGGTTGTCCCCATTGCTGTTGTCTGTTCTCTGCTTTTGTCTCCCCTCCTGGGCTGCACTCGGGGCCCGCAGAGCCGCTGCCCGGCTGGTGCTGCACACACAGCCTGCTGTCCCAGCTGCCACTGCACCCCAGAAGCCTTTGCCCTGCCACTACAGCCCGTTTTGCCTTCTTGGCTGGCACTGCAACCTCCAGAGCCCCCCTAGCCCGGTGGCACTGCACTCTGTACCCCTGCCTGGTGGCATTTTACACAGAGCCCCCTGCCCAGTCGGCCCTGTGCCCCACAGCTCACTGTGCCCCACAGCCCTGCACCCTATAGCCCTGTGCCTGTGGGGCTGCACCCCAAACATCTGTCCCTGCACCCCCCAGAGCTGCTCTTGCACCTCCAACATGTCCCTGCACCCTGGGCTGTCGTGCACAAGTCCCCGAGCCCATCCCACACCCTGTACTCCTGCCATGCATCCCACACCCTGTACCCCTGCCATGCAGCCCCATCCTACACCCTGCACCCCACC